TTCTGGTGGTGGTAACAGTTGCTGTGTTCCCGGTGCACTGTTTTTTCTCCTTGTTCCGTGTGTCTGTGTGCGTGAGTTGTTGTTGTTTTTGTTATTGACTGCGGCGAGGATGATGGCGCCACTCACTGTGGATGCTGGCAGTGCTTACTGTTTCACCCTTTTATTGGCAGTTTTTTTCTTTACTTCTCACCCACTGACACAGTAGGAAGCTACTACCAAACGCTAATTGCTACTGTGAAATTCGAGGGCTCTGGAAGAACCAACAGCACGCACAGCGCCCACACACACATATTTGTATGCTCTCACGTGTTGCTGCAGTCAAGGCGCCCCGCACACACAACCGTCGCCGCGTGACCGGATCCAGCGGAAGGAGGAGGGAAGGAAGAGAGAGTCAACCGCAGAGGCCCAAAAAGTCCCGGCATCTCCTCCATTTTGTGCTTCTTCTACTTGTCGTCATGGTTTGCGGCGGCAGTGGAACTGTGACTGCGGATGAGGTGGAGGAGTCAGCTGAACCAAAGTTTGAGTGGAAGGGCATCACTGAGGGTGCTGGTGTAACTGTGGACTCGTTGGGCGCTCCCGGCCTTCTAAAAGTGGGGAGTGACGTGTTTGCCGTTGCCGAGGCGCAGTGCAAAGAGACGAAGGAAGGTAAAGATAACTTTTTTTCTGGCGTTGCATCCCAACTTTTTTCGACAGAAGCTACTGCTGACACACCGGTGGAAGTGCTGAATGAAGTGAAAGACACGGGTTTTGGAGAAAGCCCCTTCCACAGAGGTGAAGAAAGTAGATGTGAGCCGACCAACAACAGTTGTGGAGGGAAATGATATTTACATGCTTGCTGGAAAATACAGCCGGAAAGCTGCCACTGGTGTTCAGGAGAGAGATGCAGTTGACCGTGGATTTTTGCTGGTGAAAGGGGAAGTCGGTGGTGAAGAAAGTGGCAGTGGCAAAGGAATCCAGTCGAAGGATACCAAAAGTCTTCTGCGGACACCTTTCTGCGAGCAACACGAATTTTTAACAGGACTGGTTGGCGGCGGTGGATCGGGTGTTAAGATAAAGGACGGTACGCTTGTGTTCCCAGTGGAAGGTATAAAGAAGAAGGAGAATGAGGGGACTGAGGAGGATGAAAAAACCGTTTCGCTGATCATATACACCTTGAGTGCTGCGAGTTGGACGCTGTCTAAGTGGATGTCTGCCGATGGCTGCGGTGATCCTTCTATGGTGGAGTGGGAGAAGGGAAAACTCATGATGATGACTGCGTGTGATGATGGCCGCCACAGGGTGTACGAGTCCGGTGACAAGGGGGATTCGTGGACGGAGGCACTCGGGACACTCTCGCGCGTGTGGGGCAACAAACGGGATAAAAACGTGAAACTCGTTAGAAGCGGGTTCACCACAGCGACGATTGACGGTGTTGATAGTGATAAGAGAACTGTGATGCTCGTTACTCTGCCGGTGTATCCCGAGAAGGACAGTAAAAATGGAAAAGGGTGAACTCCATCTTTGGCTGACGGACAATGCGCACATTGTTGGCATTGGGCCGGTACCCGGTGATGATGACGTTGCCGCCAGCACCCTGCTGTACAAAAGTGGTAAAGATGGTGGTAATGAGAAGGAGTTGATTGCACTGTACGAGAAAAAGAAGGGCGATGGGAAACCATCACCCGGTATGGCCTCTGTGCTTCTGACTGAGCAGCTGAAGCGGGTGAAGGAGGTGCTGGCGACGTGGAAGGAAGTGGACGAACGTGTCTCCCAGCTGTGCCCGTCTAAAAGTGATGCGGAGCGTGCCTCAACTAGCAGTACCTGCGGCGCTGATAAGATCACGGATGGGCCGGTTGGCTTTTTGTCCGGCAAGTTCTCTGATGGCAAATGGAGGGACGAGTACTTCGGGGTGGACGCCACAGTAAGTAATAAAGAAGCGGCGGAGCAGGTGGATAGTGGCGTGAAGTTTACAAGCCGTGGCGCAGGGGCGGAGTGGCCTGTTGGCGCGCAGGGGGAGAATCAGCTGTACCACTTCGCTAACTACAACTTCACTCTTTTGGCGACGGTGTCCATTCACGAGGTGCCGGAGGGAGATACCCCCATTTCTTTGATGGGTGTGAAGATGAATGATAATGGGAAGACTGTACTCCTGGGACTGTCGTACAACAAAAAAGAAGAGAAATGGATGCTACTGTGTGGTGAGGAAAAGTCTAATGAGCTCAGCAGCCCTTGGAAGCCAGGGAAAACACACCAATTGGCCATTGTGCTGCAGAACGGCAACCAGAGCACCGCGTACGTCGATGGTGAGCGCGTGGGGAACGAAACGTGTTCACTGAAAAATATGGAATCAAACGAGATCTCGCACTTCTACATTGGATTGGGTGGAGGCGATGCAGGAAGCCAAGAAGAAGTGTCCGTGACCGTGACGAACGTCCTGCTGTACAACCGTCCGTTGAGTGCTGCGGAGGTTGGAGCCCTCAACCCAAATAAAGTCCCCATTCCACCTCCGGTAGGTGGAAGTGCGTAAGGAACATTGTTGCAATCTCCTTCTGACGGGCAACCGCCGTTGGAGCGTGAATCGTTGAATGAAAATGAGGGTGTGGGCGGTGGCAGGGCATCCGCATCAGAACCGTCCACTGTAACGACTTCCTCAGGAAAAGGGCAATCCGCAATCCAGCTGTCGTCGGGAACATCTCTCGGTGGAAGTAAAAACGTGGATGTCGCTTCTTTGTCTGTGGGTGATCCAACGATGGAAGTGGAAGCTGGAGATACGGTGCCGGGAGACAAACCACCTCAAACTTCTGCGGGCACTCCCGCCACAGCAGATGCAAACGCTCCTACCGCTGAAACCGTGGGGCATGTTGACCCCGCAGTGACAACTGGGGTGAGCGTGAGCTCCGGTGAGAGTGGGGAGACGGTGGGAGGAGAGGATGGGCAGGGAGAGGCCCATTCACGGGTCAGGGAAGTAAATGCTACGGCACTCAGCAGCAGCCTCGGAAATTTGTCGCAGGGGAATAACAGCGATGCTGGCACCGTGCGTGAGAGCGGACTGCTGCCGCTGCTTCTTCTGCTGTTGGGACTGTGGGGGCTTGCTCTGTGAGGAGTGACTGGCTGCCGCGTGGGACACTCGCGACCTCCTCCGCACAGAATTACTTCTCCCGGGAACTATTTTCTCACCTCAGATAACTTTTTTCTTTCCTTTTATTTGTTTGTGATTTTTATTTGCTTTTCAGTACTCTTTTTTATGTTTCACTTTTTTTTTTCAATTTTTCTGTTTTGTTTTTTCTCATAATCCCCCATAACTTCTCTTTTGCTTTTGGGGCAATCACTATGGACGTTTTTTTTCTTTTCTACTCTTCCCTCTTTTAATTGCTTCTTGCTGCACTCTTCCTGTGAGGGGTGCCGTGTGTTTCCCGCCCAACTGCTCCACTCGCACATACACCGACACGCTCATGACGACGGCCCTGTGCGCCACGCCTGCTGCACGCATGAGGAGGGGCCGCGACGAACGGCGCGCTGAGGGAGCCGTGACGTGTGGGCGTGCGACGAGGGCCTGTGGGGCGGAGCACACATTTCTTTCCCTCTTTTTCTTTTTTTTTTGCGGTCAGGGCTGGCAGACACTCGCAGCGCCACACAGACACAGCCACACCCTGCCGCCGTTTATTTTTATTTTTATTTTTGTGGATGGTGTTTGCTGCCACCGTGCGTGATTGGAGAGGTTGGGGCTGTACCGCATGCATCGCTGCCATCCATCTGTGCTTCTTGCTGCGCTGATGATGTCTTCCCTGTGCTTCTTTTTTTTTTTTTTGCTTCTCCAGCGCACACGCACACAGACATGACTAGTTGCACGGTGCTCTGAAAGAATTTGTTGGCGACGGCGGGACGCCTTTTTGCATTCCGCTTGGGGCCGGCTGACGCGGCTGCACGATGCCCGTCATGCGTGACGGTGTTGCCTGCTCTTGGGGTCATTTTTATCACTTTTTTTTTTTTTGCTTTGCTGTTTGCGGGCGTCGCTCGGTGCGTGCGCTGCTTGGTGTGTGCTGGCGCATGACGGACGGTGCCACAATGGCCTACTCTGGCAATGACAGTCGATGTGCTCTCGGCACACATCCACACACTCTTTATTGTCTCTCTGTGGGAGTGATTGCAGTTTGCCAGTGCTGCGAGCGTGATGGGGACCACGACGGCGTCACCCCTCGAGAATGTCCCACGATCTGTCGGTTGTGGAGGGGCGAGCCGGTTTGCCTGCAGCTCGACTGACAGAACCGCACAGTCGTTTCATTGCGGTCACTCTGACGGCATCACCCGCTGCGGTGGTGTCCTCAAGAGCCGCGGCCCCGATGAGGATGGCCTCGCAGTTATCTAGCAGCTCAGGACTTCCGGCCCTTCGCTCCTTAGGATTGCTCTTGCTGTCCGACTGGCGCAGCACCATCCCGACATGGTTCTTCTGCAGGGGTGCAGGCATCAGTGTGCCCAGCGACGAGGCTCATTGGCTGCAGTTTCTTCCACCAGACGTGCAGTGGGCGTGCCGGTGGCGTGGCCCTCTTGGTGCGCCACACCTTGCCGTGCGAGCGCCTATCGCTGCTGGAACCAACTGCGTGGAGACCACCGCCTTCCGCGTGTGCCCACCGGCCAGCCCCAGCATGTACGTGGTGAACCTCTGCAGCCTTCCCTGGAAATTGCCCACGCTACTCACTTTGCGGGCACCATTCTTCGCCTTTGTCTTGCAGCCCCTATCGCGGGCAACCCGAATTTACACCATGAGCTGCGGGACGGTCGATCACCGTCAACAACGGCAGGAGAGGACTTCACCGCCACCCCAAGCGGCATGGAGATTGAGCTATCCGACGACCCGGCACAGGCAACGCGTATCAGCGGCCGCCACGTCTTGTTTCCCGACGTGACTGCGCAACGCGTACTGCGTGTCTCCCACTGGACGTCCACCAGTTTACATGGACTTGGACCAACCTCTGGTATTGTAGACTGCAGGGACGGAGGACGGCATCCTGCGACAGGCAGGCATGCTGCCACGACGGAAAAATGCCGTCGTTGTCATGCATGAAACCGACTGGACAGCAATCACTTTTCGTCGGCGTTCATGCACGTTGCCGACCGCACGCTGGTTGCCTTGGGTGCGGACGGCCGTGCATGTGCTGCGGCAATGCCATTTGCTGTGTCACTTGTGGCCACATGGGCTACCGAGCACAGCCCGAGAATCAGTGCCGACAGGAGCGGGGCCGCTCTGTTCTGCATCGTTTCACGCTGACGGTCTGACGAGGATACGGCCGACCATCGCCTGGGCGGTGGGAAGCCACGCGTCAAGTCCCACCCTGTGCGCCTGCTCGGCGATGCGATTGATCGATTTCTCAATTTTGGTTTGCACGTCACCGCCGCTGCACAGCAGTTCGTGCCCCTTTGCTGTCGACCGTGGCTGGGCGCAGGAGCTGGGGCGCCGCAGCAGCACCATGCGGTCCTTTCTCGTTGGGTGCGTTCACAGTGCGTTGCACCACGGTATCGAGGCAACTGCTCCGTGTCCAGCCCTCACTCATCTCCACAGCCTGGAAGTGCGGCACCGCGACAGCTGCACGGCATCTCTTGGCCCACGCGCATCAAAGAAGGATACTTCTGCCCACCTGGCAGCCAATCTAGCACCGCTGCGGAGGATTGTTGGGTTCCTCGAACCCACACAGCACGAACGCCTCACATTTCTTTGGTATATTGAGGAAGAGCGTGGCGCAATCTGCTCGGAAACCATGCCTTATTCAATACATGGGAATGCAGTGACGAGTATTCCGCTGCCGAGAGATGCTGTACTTGACGGAATGCGACGCGTCTGTAGCCACATGGGGATCTTCCCGCACCACACCCACGCCCCTCATGCTGAGCAGCGAATTTTCGTCTGCGACACTGTGAGCTGCGACGGGGTGGGCGTTCTCCAGCCACGGCACGCCCAAGACGCCCCGGATGGCTCGTCGTCTCTCGCTCAGCATGCATCTGGATCCGCTGCAATGCCACTTGACTCCCCGGACAGCCGAGCTGCCTGTGGGGCATCACCGCACAGCTGCTGGCAGCCTTGCATGCTCCTGCCGAGCGGAGCGTCCTGCCACTGAGCATTGTCTCAGACAATTCCCAGCTTCCCGCCTGGCAGCAGCATCCCAATCGCCTACACGAGTTCCTGCCGCCACAGACTCCCTCTCGGCGATGGAATCACTCCGCCTTGGCTCGCTGGAGGTGCACGACGACGTCACCGAAGAGATTTGTACCGTGCCACTTTCACAGGCGGCTCGAGGTCGTACAGCTGGCCTCACATTTTCCCCATGGCACCGCGGATTCCCACGCAACGAGACAGCGGACGCGGACACCGTCATGGCACGATCCCTCCCGCAAAACTGCGCCAATGCCTAGCACGTGAACATCCTCACTCCAGTCGGACCAACGTACTGGAGGGATGCCCAGAGGACACAGGAAGGCGCTCACACCGCGTGGCAGTCCCTTGTCGGTCTGGCGAGGACTGTATTCCTGTTTCCGACCGGACATTGTGCCCCGAATGACAGCTGTGCCCACCGGCAAGATACGACCCATGCCCACTCTTTGACCGCCTTGCAAAAGCCCTGCACACCACAAGCAGCTCTGTGTCGATCGTGCCACCCATCTCTCACCAACGACACCGACCGTTGCATCGCCTATAGTGGTCGAAATTTTTGTTTCCAATTATGAATGGTGGGAATGAGAGACACTCTCTTTCAATATCTGTTTGCGTGTTCATACACTGGACACCAAACAACCCTGAATTATCCGCTGCTTGGAGGAATTTCGCGAGCTCTTGCCCACAAAGGTGCTACAGTCGGCTGATCGTTTTCAAGCGGTCGCTGCATCACACGTTGTGGCCCAAATTTTTGTATGAGCTTGTGAGAAGGATGATCTCGGGAGAGCTGGCTAACTTAATTAATGTATGTATATCCTTATAAATGAAGGCTTTCGTTATGATACTTCCTACCGTATGAATTTTAGGGGAAGAATTTCATTTTTGGGGTCATGGAACCGATAGAGGCAGTGTGTGTTTTTTTTTTTTTTTACAGACACACATGTAAGTTTAAGGAAATGGCATTTGTTCCCTACACACACTCCGAGTGGTGTGATATTGACTCCCGTCTCTGGGACATGGTGTGCCAGTGTGGCGAGACCCAGGTGCAGATGATGTTCATTAATGGTGACCAGATGTCGGACGAGACGTTACCTGTGGCCGCATCATCGACAGGCTTATGCTTGTTCCATGGACCTACCTCTAAAGCATGGCAGGATTCTACTCTTATTGGAAATATTGCGAATCTACGGGCGACTCAGATCCCTAATTTAGAGACACAAGCGCTCCTGCCCGCCATGGGGGTAGCCCGGGAGTTGGGGCACCAACAAGGGCTCATCACTGCTGAAAGGAGCGCCTGAATTTTGATTACGCTAACGCCGTCGCGGACGTGCAGAATCGGAATGATCAGCTTAACTCGCGGGTTGAGGAGGCGCATATTAACCTATCGGTAAGGGAATCCAATATCGCCGGGGCCGGCAACCAGTTCCTAGAACTACAACAGCAGTTGGAGAACACTCGCGCACAATTACGGGAGCGCGAATTCAACTTGGGAAGGCTCACGGGTCAACTCCAGGAACGGGAGGCACGCCATAATGCACAACAACCCGCGCGGGAGGCGGAGACGGCGGGGCGGGACGAGGCCCCCGCTACTCGACACGTTGCTAACGATGGCGTATCTACACTCCCGCATCAAACGGATATCTTGATGGCTGGAGGCGTGCCTAGCAGCGCGGCCCGACACAGTTCGGCGGCTTACAGACGCCCTCACGGCAATGTTGGGAGACCACATTTCCACCCTTCCACGCCGTTGCCTTCCCGCACTTCTCCCCTGGAAGCCCAATTGCCTATGGAAGAGGACCGCAGTTTCTGCGCATTTGGCGTCACCACGTGGCCCACGTGTATATGGAATGAGGGAGCTTCCGGAGTCGTTTTCGACCTCCGGTGCGCATACCAATGCTGGCAACAGGAGAAGGAGCAGGTTAAACTTGCCTTTGACAATTTGGTCGAGTGGATCGGCGTGCTGGAAGGCGGGCAGGATCCCACCGATCGCTTCATGAATTTGGGGAGGTCCCTACTGAATACATTCCGGATGCGGCTCACGATTGCATCCGATCCCGGCATCCGGCTTTCCAAACTGCGCGCCCATCTTTACACCGCTGTTCACCAGACGGACGCTTACGCGAGGGCAGCCCAGCTTCTCATCGATCGGCGAGAAACCCCACGCACTGTGCGATGCCAACGTTGTCATATCTTTGGACACGAGGCATCTACATGCAATGTGCGCCCCAGAGGGAATTACTCATAATACAGGCGCCCATCAAAAAACGGCAGTGGGGCTGCCGCACGCCGCTCATGAATGCTGACGACGGCAGCCCCATCCATTCCGCCACCTCCGGCTATTACACACGGACGTTGCACCGCACCGCCGACGCTCCACCCGATCTTTCAAATTGCCCGACGCAATCGTCGGGAAGGGCGATGGAGCTTATCCGCCAACGACGCTCGACTGTGGTACGAAGAATCGCCGACGTCTCCGCTTTGGGCCAGTTATATGAGGAGAGCGAACGAGGTCGCTCGAGAGATGTGGGCCCCGCCAAAGTGGGAGCAGAGAATGTCCCCAGCGGGGCAATTGGCAGCCTTTTGCTGCACGCACGAACTTCCGATGAACGAGGAGAGCTGCGCGGCCTTTTTGTTGGCAATATTAGATGTGGCGCCATGGACTCGACTACAGTACGCCAGGATGCTGTGGTCCATGTCGGAAATGAATCGAACCCCGTTGGAAATGATGATTCTGGGGCTACAAAAAATTGCGGCGCGATCGGAGACGAAACAGGCGCGCCCCTTGACAAAGGAAGAGATGAATCAAGTTATCCGCAGCCGGACAGATTGGAAGGAACGTGTTGTCTTACGACTTGCGTGGATAACGGTGAGTCTTTGATCCGAGGTTGCGGCCTTAACGCCCAAAAATTTTATAATGGAGGCGGACGGGACCATAATTTTGGATTGGCCCGTGGCGCCGAAGACGGCGAGGGCGGATCCCCACCGCGCCTCGCGGTCCGTGAGGATACGAGGGCAGGACGCGTTCGACACTATAAAGCTATGCAGGACACTTCAAGAAAACGAAAAGCTCACGAATATTACGGCTGCCCACGTGGGGCGAGCTCTGGCTCCTTGGAATGCCACGGCGCATTCCATAAAACGCGGTGCGTTGAGGCACGCTGCTGAAATCGTGGAGACATACAATTTGGACCCACACGTGATCTCGCAGTTGGCAAAGCACGTCAATCCGTTCGAACTTCCCCAGAATACTGTTCGATATTTGGGGAGGTACACCACAATGCTGACCCAGGTGTCGTTGCTGGTCGCATTGATGTGAAGAGAGAGACTGCGGAAGGGCAGGAACCCTGGTTGAAAGCAGAGGAGCGTTTTTCCACTATTTTTATCACCACGCTGCTACAATAACGAGACACACGACAAGGACGCGTCTGGCCACTCCACAAGAGAAACAAACCATCCCGCTACAGCGAGTCAACGTGCCCGTATTGAATCTAGAGTGGATCATGAGTCGGTTGAACCCGGCCACCTTGGAGAGTCTCATGCAAGTTTGGGGACGCGTCGGGCGGTCCCCTTTCCTCCGTCTTCCTCCGGTAAAGCGCGCGAAGGCTCACGGAGGATTCCAACCGCTGACGCGCGTTTGTTACGAAAAGCAGGAATAATCGAGGACGCTTCGTCCACAATAACAGGCGGATGGATAATACCCTTTTTCGGTTGTGGAGGAGAAACCCGCCGGTTTGCGACGACGATGGATCGCGTGGCCACGCGGCAAGAACAGCGACGACCCTTCTGAGGCGAATGTTCCTCTTTTACACATTTCCCATTATTCGCCACCTGTGATGGCTGAGGCCGCTTCCTGCCTGGATGTGAAGGCATCCTTTTTTCAAGTCTCTTTACCGCGGGAGACTCGGCATCTCTTTTGATGTCGCGTGGAGGACGGCACGCTGGTGGAGCTCACACGGCCCCCAATGGGATACAAGGCCAGCCCAGAAATTCTCCAGATTATTATTACTTCAGCAATCGCCGGGGTGACGACGGTGGTTCACTTCCTCTGGGCCGCACCTCCATTGGTGCGCATCGACGTTTGGATCGGTAATATACGCATTGCAGGGTCGAAAAGCGATGCGACATTGTGGGAAGCCCAAGTGCTTCGTAATCCGGACAGTTGTCACGCATCCATGCGGGAGGATCGCGAATCGGGCGCTACGCATTACACCTTTCTGTGGGTGCTGTTTGATCACACTCCGGACGGTATCTCTGAGTGAGAATTTGTCCGCTCTGTGCGCGCCATGTCGGCGCTTAATTCTTTAACCATCGCGGAATGGAGGTTACGGCGTCACGCTTTTTGTACGCGGCTGCCATTTTGGGCACGCGTTTATATGACTACTACTTTTTTATCAAGGCAGTGCGACGACGATTATCCGCACTTAACCAAGGGATTGTGCAGGAGACATCCCCGGCGAACCTTCCGCCGGCAGCGGTTGGTTTTGGGCGAGAGATTGCGACACATCATCGAGAATATAATCGTAGGCGAATCATCAAGCCCTCTGAAAAGGCATCGGCCGCCATCATCACGGATGCATCGCTCCATGGATGGTGAGCCGTTTTTATTCCAGACTCCGGCGACGTTAAAATTGCCGGAGGAAAATGGAAGAGGAAGCCTTTTCTTATCATGCAGGCCGAGGCGCGCGCGGTACGCTTAGCCTTATCGGCCTTTTCCGCCATCTTGCCACCCACCATGGACATTTGGGTGAACAACACTTTGCTGCAAGGAGCGGCGAATAAAGGCAGCTCGAAATCGCATGCGTTGACTTGGGAGCTGCAACGGACATATGAATTTTTGGACTCTTGCGGAATAAAGGCATTCTTTGCATACGTACGGTCAGCAGAAAACCCCGCAGACGGCATATCACGCGGTCGTGTGTTTACACTTCAGGACTTGGCGAGGGGGTGGAACTTGCGAAGGGGAGC